TCGGTCGCGAATTTTACTCGTTAAACGTTATTACTGAAATTAAAGCAAATTATTATTTAAAAATTAACGAAAAAGTGTGAATAATAGTAAAATAAATTATAAACAACAAAATATTTGTCATATAAAAGTGTTTTCGTTTGTAATTTATGCAAAAAATCGTGTCATTTTGTTTCCTTTGATGCAAAAGCTTCAGTTGTGTGTTTTTTTGTTTGTGAGTTCGTGTGTGCGCTCGTTAGATGAGAGAGCATAGTTGTTGTTGTTTACGCCATTTGGTTTTGCAATGATCTCTCAATTGGATCATTTTGAAATGTGACTAAATTGGCAGCACTGTTATTGCCATTTCCTTCTTCCTTTAGTTGTCAAGCATTTTTAACGGCGACCGGTCGCAAATTTTACTCGTTAAACGTTATTACTGAAATTAAACCAAATTATTACTTTAAAATCAATGAAAAAGTTTAAATAATAGTAAAAAAAGTATAAAGAACAAAATATTTGTCAATAAAAAGAGATTTCATTTATAATTCATAAAAAAATTGTGTAATTTCGTTTCCTTCGATGCAAAAGCTTCAATTGTGTTACATTTCTTTGTTTGTGAGTTCGTGTGTGCGCTCGTTAGATGGGAGAACATAGTTGTTGTTGTTTACGGCCATTGGTTTTGCAATGATCTCTCAATTAGATCATTTTGTAATGTGGCAACATTGACAACGCCATTATTATCAGTTCCTTCTTCCTTTAGTTGTCAAAAGATTTTAATGGCGGCCGGTCGCGAATTTTACTCGTTAAACTTCATTAATAAAATTAAAGGAAATTATTACTTACAAATCAATGAAAAAGTGAAAATAATATTAAATGAATTCATATAAAAGAAAATATTTGTCATATAAAATAGTTTTCGTTTATAATTTATGCAAAAAAAAAAATATAAAAACAAAATTTCGTTTCCTTCGATGCCCCAGCTTCAATTGTGTGTTATTCCTTTGCTTGTGAGTTCGTGTGTGCGCTCGTCAGATAAGAGATATGAATGTGTTGTTGTTGTTTATGGTTATTTGTTTTAGCATTGATCTCTCAATCGGAGCATATTAAAAAGATGAATTTGTTGCAAATTTTTTGGTGTCGAATGATTTGATGTTTTTAATTTTGATGTAAATTTAATTCGCTAAATGTCGTTTTCAATGAGAAAAGTGAGAAAAGTGTCAACGAGATTATGGCATGGAGAGTGTTTATATTTTATATTGTGCTAATCTAATTATTCTTATTGGAAATCAACACCATGGGAGATAGATGAGAGAATATATGAATGTGTTGTGAAGTTGTTGCAATTGTCTGTGTCGAATGATTTAGTAAATTTGATTCGTGAGTGTTAACGCGTTTGTGTCATTGAGAGAATTTATGTTTTGCACTCTTTTTGTTCTCATTTAATTATTCTTTTTGGAAATGGCCGCTACGGGAGATGGACGCCAATGGATTAATTAAAGAGGTAATTTTGATAAAATCATAGACTTAATCGTAAATAATTAGAAATTTTAAGAAAATGAGAGTAATCGAAACTTTTTGAAATATTAAGAGAATTAAATGATGCTAGCATATTCGTATGACAAACATTGTTGTGATAAATTAAAAAGTTGGCTGAGGAATATAACGATTTTGGTGGATTCTGATTAGAAAAAAACAAAATCCCAACTTTTTTTTTTTTTATTGTATTCAAATGATTTTCCAATAGTAAGCATTTGATGGTTTTGCTCATCTTCAAAATTCCACAGTTTCGAATGCAAATTTATATTTTCATTGAATGTTAGTCAATCTAATTTCAAATCCTTTACATTTCTAGATAAAATAAACAAAGTTTTATTTTTTAAATTGGTGAAATTTTCGAATTAAGTGCTTTGTGTCCAACATTTTTTGTAAGGTAAAAATAATTCAATACTTTTGTTTTAATTACCTATGTATGTCCTCGTCTTCGTATAGCAACATGTAACAGTTCTAATTTGAACGGTTTTTTTTTTTATAAATTTATCAACCTTCTTCCAAGTGATGGAGGGTATTATCGGCCGAACTTAGCTGCTTTTAAACTTGTTACAGATGTCATTAGTAAGAGTGAGGTTCAAAATAGAAGCCTATTGTTTTTAGAGATTTTTCGGCTTTTTTCGAATTCGGCTAAACTTCAGTCTTTCATCTGAGCAAGGTTCAGATCCGGTAAAGCTCCAACCACTCCATGTAACTTTCGGTCAGATGTCGGACCGACTAGGCATTCGAAATCGGAAATTCTTTGACTTTCGGTTGGAAGGGGGTACAAGCTCGGGAGGTACTAGACGGAGTGGTCCATTCTATCTGTTCCATTCTATATGCGAAATTTAAAGACAATGAGACTCTTATTTCAGGTACCAGAGGGAGTAGACCGGTATTGCCCCACCTATAGTGCGATTCTCTTACTATTTTTAAGTTACCAACAAATATCGGTAAAATTAAATCGCAAAATTCTGAAGGAATAGTCCATGGTACAATAAGGAGGTAGAACAGCTTCGTAAAACTGCAGAAATACAGCCCTGAGGCTATGCCCACTTCCTGTCAGAATTATTCAAAGTTATAGGCAACAAGTTGTTTTCATTTATTTGATATTTTTTGTTCATTTCTAAAGTGAGTCAAATAACGCGAAAGATGACTGAAATGCCTCGATGTTCTCTCAAAAATATGATCCTAAGTGTTCAATATTTCAATTCCATGGTAAATCTCGTTAATATTATTAATGCGCGCCCGCAATTTAGGTTTCTTCCAATCATTGATTTTGAAAATATTTTGTTTTTATACCCTATACCACAAGGTGGTCAGGGTATTATGTCTTTGTGCATTTGTTTGTAACAGGCAAAAGGAAACGAGATAGACCCATAGTTCCTTTTGATGATTTGCATAGAATCACATTCTGAGTCGATTTATGCATGTCCGTCCGCCCGTCTGTCCATGTATTTTTGTAAACAAAGTACATTTCGCATTTATTGCCCCATCCAGAGTTTTGCACAAATCATTTGTTTGGCCCAAGGACGAGCCCTATTGAAATTGGAGATAATCGGTCAGAATTTAGATATAGCTCCCATATATATCTTCGTCCGATTTGCCTTTTATTGTGCACCAAACGTGTAATATCAGTCCGAATAGTATGGAATTTTGCACATACAACCAAATTAGGTTTGAAAATAAGAGTGCCAAATTTGATAGAAATCGGCTCAGATATAGCTTTAGCTCCCATATATATTGTTCATCCGATTTGTTATTTTTGTCCTCCGCAGCCGTAATATGCACTCTGTAACAACAATATTTGGGGAAATATATCAAATACAGCTCAGAAATACATTTGCTAAATTTTGTCGAGATTGGTTCAGATTTGAATATAGCTCCCATATATAACTTCATCCGATTTACCTTTGATTGTGCACCAAACGTCTAATATTTACCCAAATTGGATGAAATTTGGCATTTCCGACCAAATTGAGTCTAGAAGCTAGTATGTCAAATTTGAACCCTATTGAAATTGGAGATAATCGGTCAAAATTTAGATATAGCTCCCATATATATCTTCGTCCGATTTGCCTTTTATTGTGCACCAAACGTGTAATATCAGTCCGAATAGTATGGAATTTTGCACATACAACCAAATTGGGTTTGAAAATAAGAGTGCCACATTTGATAGAAATCGGCTCAGATATAGCTATAGCTCCCATATATATTGTTCATCCGATTTGTTATTTTTGTCCTCCGCAGCCGTAATATGCACTCTGTAACAACAATATTTGGGGAAATATATCAAATACAGCTGAGAAATACATTTGCTAAATTTTTTCGAGATTGGTTCAGATTTGAATATAGCTCCCATATATAACTTCATCCGATTTACCTTTGATTGTGCACCAAACGTCTAATATTTACCCAAATTGGATGAAATTTGGCATTTACGACCAAATTGAGTCTAGAAGCTAGTATGTCAAATTTGGTGAAGATCTGTTCAGATATAGCTAAAGCTCCCATGTATACTGTTCATCCGATTTGTCATATTTGTTACCCACAGCCGTAATATGCACTCCGTGGCAACGATATTCAGGGAAATATATCAAATACAGCTCAGAAATATCTTTGCCAAATTTTATCGAGATCGGTTCAGATTTGGATACAGCTCCCATATATATCTTTATCTGATTTCAAAATTAATTTTGCACCAAATGGGCAATACAAGTCCGAATTTAAAAGATACAAATGCTTCGGCATATTTAGTTCTTTCAACTTTAAATTATAATCATAGCGAGTATGATTGAATTTTCCCATAAAAACTTTTAATTGTTATGTGGAGCTCTACTAAATTAGCAAAGTGGTGTAGGGTATCATAAAGTCGGCCCCGCCCGACTTTAGGACTTTCTTTACTGGTTAAATCCTAATCTGTTGGAAAATCAAACAAATACATATTTTTCAAAATCTTTTTTTATTTCTCTTAAATACGTTTTGTATATATTTACATTAAATGTATATGTGTATGTATATATATGAAGGCATTTATACAAAAAAATATATAAAATAATTAAAAAATTAATAATACTAAATTATTGGATGTATATATTTATATTAAAGGCAGAATGCATTGCTTTTTTCTAAATATTGTATTTGTAGACATTTAATTAATGCTTTTTGTATTTGTATATTTAAAAATATATATATTATTTATTCTTAACAAATAATGGAGGGAATGTTTGCAAGTTTTACATTTTTTGTTTATATTTTTAAAATTTAAAAAAAAAATCTCATAAATTAAAACAAAAAGAAACTAATTAAAAAAATTAACAACATTTTAAAGGTAACAAAAAATTGTTTTAAATTTTTTTTTAATGTGATGCTAAATTATAAAATTATTTATTATTTAAAAACAAAAAAATTATTAAATATGATTAAAAGTATTTGCAATTAAAAAAATATTTATTCCAAAATGTAAGAGATCACCACGAAGTTTTAATGTCAATATCTCATTCATTGCCATAGTCGCCTTGAATTCCATTGGATCTAATCTATGAAATATTTTGGCTATTGGATGAAGAAACTGGGCAGGGGACCCTCTCTTACATTGAGGTTTCCAATGGCTGGCTATGGCAACGGCCATTAGCATCCATTGGCGGACTATTATCCATATCTAAATCAGTCTCTAGCAAAGCTTCTGAACGCGAACGATGATACGCGGGTACGGCATCTTGATGATGGCCGTGCGGCAGCGTTGAACTGGCCGCTGTGCTATCACTATTCTCATAGACCGTTTTGGGTCTCCTACTGGCCAGCTGAGAGGCCATCGATAGTGTGGGTGTATCATATTTTGGGGAGCTACCACCACCAATGCCTCCACCTCCAATAGATGAGGCTGGCCTTGAGAATCTATTGGCACCCACGGCCACCATATATGAGTCGGGCCTTCTAATATCTGCTGGCGCTGCTGTTGCACTTACTTGGCTAGTATTATTGCTACGTAATTCGGCTAAAGAACTGAAATTCATGTTGTCGATTTTTTGTTCGTATGTCAGACTGCCCGTCGTTGAGTTGTTGCTCGAAACAGTCTGATTCGTTGGTGGTGAGGGAGTTTTGGGAGGTCGTTGCCGGTGCTGATGTACGGCTGCCACGGTGGGCGGCAAAAATGTTGAGGGTGGTTTATCGGACATTTGACTGGATCTCTGATCCTCGGGTATGTTACGTTTTAGTTCCGAAAGGAATGCCAAATTCTCATTGGGATCATATCTCAGTGGCAATGTACTGGCATTACCATAATAATCCGAACCCGTCTCTTCGGCATCAGTTTGATGTATAATTGGAGTATCTTCAGCAATGCTGGTACTAATCGAATTATTACGCGTCCCCGAATAGGTGGAGTTATCGCGGAAACCTTCATTGCGATAGGACAGCTCAAAGTCGTTTTGAGGTGTTTTTTGTTGAGCGGCTGCAGCTGCCAAAGCAGCAGCTGTAGCACGACCCCTAGCCCTTGATGCCGATCCAATTGTGGCAACACGGGGCGGACCCATTAAACCCCCCGCACTACCGGGAGTTCGTATACTGGTCACATATTCATTTTGGGATTTTTGTGGCGTGTTATATTCCGATTTCTCCCCACCATTGGGACGATGATTTTCATAGGGTTCAAAACTGGCCTCAGAACTCAAAACACTTTTATCAATTGACTCGAAGGACCCGTTTCCCATCATTTTATAATCCTGGGCCATACTTTTTGTCAGGGTACCCGTTGAGTTGGACATGTTCTAAATAAAAAAAATAAGGAAAACAAAATAAAAAAAAGAAAAAAATTAAAATAAAATCGAAAAACAAAGAAACAAAAAATCAATGAAATCATACAAAATTCCTCCGGCGCAATGAGCCCTGCGGATCAATGCTATTCAAACTGCGTAAACTTTGGCGTATACTGTTGCGGCGCTGCAGTCTTTGGGCATGGCGATGTTTAGACTTGGCATACCAGCAAATGCCGACCAAAATCAAGAGAATCAAGGCCAAGACAAAGGCGGAAATAATACTAATGGCAAAGATGTCGGCGCGCCAGGACAAGGGATCAATTACCACCTGGGAGTAAATGCAGGAGAAATTAATTTAACTTTCTAAAGAAAAAAAGGTTAACACTCACCTTCGGATCCACTTCACATATGAAACCCAATTCCTTGTTGCACTCTTCCACGGTAATTTCCATGTAGGCAAAACTGGTGCAACGATCAATGTAATTGAAATCCTGGACCCACACCTTTTCGGGGTATCTAAATTGAAACCGGAATTAGTTCGGAAAAATTAAGAATTTTTTATCCTCTCTGAACTTACTTCAGATGCCTCATTTGACTCTGCAAATAAATCCACAGCGTTGTACTGTCCGTCCTTATGAACGGCATTGAGGAATTTTCCGATCTACAAAATTCTTTGGCCTCATGGAAGGTCATCGGCACGCCGACATACATAAAACAGGTATCGGAAACCTGTGACCATCCCGGTGGACACTTGCCATCTAATATCGTTTGATTGTTCATCTGGAAGGGTACCGCTAAGACTTCCAATAGCATGGGGTCATCTGAAATGGAATTAAAATGTTAGAATTTATTGTCAACAAGTAAAAAAGCAGTAAGCAGCAGGCCGGACCGAACATAAAATACCCTCCATCATTTGCAACGAATTTAGAAATTAAAAAAAATAAAATCTTTTAAAAAATTTGGTTAAAATCTTAATAATACCGAATATAGCCGTTATTCATGTTGGGGTCTATACGAAGACGTAGACCTGCATAGTCAAATTTTGTCATAAGTCATTACAATATTCAAATATAAAACTTGAAAAAAAAAATCAATGAATAATGAAGCTAAAATCATCATAATACCGAATATAGGAAGGTACCCTTATATCGGGGCTTTACGAAGACCTGGACCTGTATAGGCAATTTTCTGTCACAGGCTGCAGAACCTATTAGGAACATCAAATACGAAATTTCAAACAATTTCGGTGAATATTGTACCCAAAATCGTTAAAATACCGAATATAGGGAGGTACTGATATATGGGGCCTATACAAAGACCTGGACCTGCATAGGCAATTCTCTGGCATATACTGTACTTCCCATTACGAACTTCAAATAACAAATTTGAAACAATTCCGGTGAATAATGTCGCTAAAATCATCAAAATACCGAATATCGGAAGGTACCGTTATATGTGGGCTATACGAACACCTGGATCTGCATAGACAGGCTGCAGAACCTATTAGGAACTGCAAATTTCAAACAATTTCGGTGAATATTGTACCCAAAATCGTAAAAATACCGAATATAGGGAGGTACTGATGTATGGGGCCTATACGAAGACCTGAACCTGCATAGACAATTCTCTGGTACAGATTGTAGTTCCCATTACGAGCTCTAAATACGAAATTTGAAATAACTCCTGTGTATAATGTCGCTAACATCGTCAAAATATCGAATATTGGGAGGTACCGTTATATGGAGGCTATACGAAGAGGTGGGCCTGCATACGCAATTTGTTTTCATAAGCTGTAGTACTTATTACGAATTCTAAATACGAAATTTGAAACAACTCCGGTGAATAATGTCCCTAAAATCGTCAAAATACCGACGGGTTACCGTTATATGGGGGATATACGATATTGTGGAGCGATATAGCTCACCTTCGAATTGGACCTGCCTGCAGACAAAAGACTGATCTTCGCAAAGTGTTTGCTTCTTATCTCTATTCATTTTAACTCTAGCGTGATTACAACAGACGTACGGACAGGGTTAAATCGTCTTAAAATTTTACGCTGATCAAGAATAAATACAGGGTGAAATTTCCGACACTTTGGTATTTTTTAGTGCCAACCTTGCTTTCTAATATACTCCAGACACAATACTCCAAAGGATTTTTATCCGGAGATTTTAGTGGCCATTGTTCGCTGGAAATGAAACGAGGAACCTTTATTTTGTAAACTTTCTTGGGTGGCGCGTGGTGAGTGCGGTGGTGCTGAGTCCTGTTGGAATGTCCAAGATCTGAGGCCAAAATGTTTGCGTGCCCAAGGTTTTTATACACACTCCAGAATATTTTCGCGATAATATTTGGCATTCTGATGCCACGGTCGATTAATACGAGCGGAGAGCGACCATCGGCTGTTATGGGGACCCACACCATTACTATGGCTGGCGCTTGAGTTCTGGTGGCCAACCGAAGGTGCACATTTTCAGCTAACCTCTTTGGCAAGTAAACGCGATCATTTTGTTTGTTTAAAAACTGCTGGACAACGAATGTTTTCTCATCGGAGAGAACCAAATTCGACAGTTGACAACATTCGGTCAAGCGAACCAACACTTTAGCTCGTTTGAGCTATTTTCTTTCTGTTGCGGCGTAAGCTCTTGCAATTTTTGGAATTTCAATGGCTTACCCCGAGCTCATTTTTCAATATTTGCCGAATGTTGCGATATGTTCAGATCACGAGCCATTTTTCGGCCACTGCGACGTGGGTTTCGATCAAGTCGCTTCTTTACTTTTCGAACCATTTCTGCTACTGTTTTCTTCCGTCCACTTTCTTGACGTCGGGCTACGCTTCCAGTATCACGCTAATGAGCGATGGTACGAGACACAAAAAATGTATTCAATATAAATGCTGGAGTGCTCTAACGATAGCCACTTGTGGGTTTCCAGTCAAATATCACACACTATCACGCTTAAATTCTATCATGAATAACTTTTTTCTGGAAAATTCTCATCAAAATATAATGAGCAATCACTGGTATAATTTTAACAGCTGTCCGACGAGTGGCTTATAAATGACAGCAATCTGAAGTTGGTTGTAGTTTTTTCATCTCACCCTGTACATATTTGGGCTGGTAGAGTTCGTCCATGGCCTAAATATTCAAAAACGTATTCCCTGTAAATTCAGGTCGAATAACGTTTTCTCCATTATCTCTCAGAAAAACCAGGGGTAATTACAGGTTCCTGTCGCACTGGGAGATTATGTAAGGAAAATCATGAGGGTGAGTCAATTATTCTTATTTTCTGGCGATGTTTTCCCTCATTATTACTTGTTGAGAACTTCAGTCAGGAATCGGTACTGCAGCAAAAAATTACTTATGAAAGTCCTCGTTAACGATTTTCATCTAAACTGTATTTTTCGACGAAATTTTTCAAGTTCTTTCCAAACGGTGGAGGGTTCAATATTCGACACGGTCGAATTTACTGCTTTTTCCTTTGTTTTTAAATTTGACTCACCTGATTTATCCTTAATCCGAGACTGTACCGATAATGTATTGTTGTAACTCCAATAGTTGTGGCGGGCATCAATTTTCGATTTCCACAATTCAATGGTGCTATAAAATTGCGAATTGAAAATATGAGTTAGAAAAACGTTTCAGATATTAAAAAATTCAATCCAATTTCATTTAAGGTTTTAAGGTTTATATCTCAGTTGTTACCTGTTTCGGTAGTCAATACTCAAGCTACAGATATAAGACATGCAGAAGTTTTGGGTGAGTGGTGTAAGTAGATTTTAAAAAATATAAAGATACAAAAATAATAAGAAATTAGAATCAAAGAAAACAATCAAAACATGCCATAAGTTAGTGCCGATGTTCGAAAATGCAGGATGAGTGGAAAATGAAGAATGGAAAATGAAAGAATGAGATGTGGAAAATGAAGATATGAAAAATGTAAGTGTAATGTTGCGATAAGACCTTTCAGATTGTTTTATTAATTTCTTCGGAAAGGAAGAAAGTCGTACGATTTATCGGCAATTAGTATTCAATTCAGGCATTACTAAAATTCAATATCAGCTATCGAATAAATGCTGGGTTATCTTGTGTGTTAGATTGGTAGCTATAGTCATTTTTACTCTTATATAGGGGAATTGAAGATTTTACTCATAATAAGATGGTTTTCTTACCACGTCAATTGTGAATAGTGTACATTTGAACTTGCCTCGATAAAGTCGTAAATGTTATATAATGTATTTTAAGTTTTAAAAAGGGAAATAAACGGTTTGTAACGTTTTTGTGAAAATATATAAATTGATCTGTCTCTCTCTGTCAAAAGAGCCGCTGGCTTGGCATTTCGGAGTGATTACCTCGGATAACACACAAAAATCTGAGATCCCAGCAGATCATATACAGGATATACAATACGAGGAAATAATAGGGAATTCCTTCCGCAACCTGGTCGACACAGCGGTGGAAGGAATTGAAAATCAGAGGCGATCTGGTACAATCGGCACCGAATTCAAAGCAGATGGGTCAACCATCAACGTACGTTGCTGGTAGGCAAATTGTGTTAATCCAGACATGGTCGATAAAGTCCTTGATATTGCTGTAAGGACGGCTGGTGAAGCCATCATCCTCTTTCTTACCATATTGTTTATTACCCAATTCCTAAGCCCAGAGCAGATGCAACCCTGAGGTGGAGCTACATTGGGAAACTTCTTAAAAACTTCCTATTGCGCCTGATCAACCGGATCTTCAAAGAGAGAAGAATACTAAAAGACTGCCAATTCGGATATAGAGCTAAACACTCTACAACCCATGCCCTACGAGCCTTTACAACATACGTCAAGTCCAAAATGGGAACAATTGCAATTGGTCTGGACTGTTTAATAGCCAATTCCTATGCCCAAAGAAGATGCAACCCTGAGGGGGAGCTATAGACCGATATCTCTGTTGGCGCCCATTGGGAAGCTTCTTTAACACTTCCTACTGCGCCTGATCAACCGGATCTTCAAAGAGAGGAGGATACTAAAGGAATGTCAATTCAGATATAGAGCAAAACACTCTACAACACATGCCCTAGGAGCCTTTACAACATATCTCACGAATGGTTTCAATTCCAAAATTGGAACAATTTCAATTGGTCTGGACTTCACCAAAGCCTTTGATACGGTATGGCAACATTGCATTTTATACAAAATGTAATCGTTTATATTCGATGAAGAAAGCTGTCGCATGGTAACAAGTTTCCTCCAGCATCGAGTCTTTCGGGTTAGAGTTAATAACAAACTGTCTGAACAATGACTAGTAAAAGCGGGGGTTTCTCAGAGATCACTGCTGGGACCGGTCTTCTACAACATGTTGGTTAGAGACATCCCTGGACCACCTGGTGGAGGATTATTGCGAGGTCGCTTCGGAAAAAGAGTAGAGAGATCACGGTTGGTGACCAACTAATTGGAACTTCCGACAGGAGAAAAAATCTAGGAATCACCCTGCATGACAGTTCTGACTTCTGCCGTCACGTGTACTAAGTGCTGTCAAAGGCCAACGAGGTGAATTACGCCCACTAGAGGCTATTCCGGATGCGAGGAGGACTGTCGCCGGATGTAAAACTGCTTATCTACAAGCAAGTAATACGGCCCTCATCAATATGAGAGAGAAGAGATGAGAAAGAAGAATCTTGGCTTCGTGTTTAGGAATGAGACTAAGAATCGAATTCATCCAGGTAGACGTCTTCATGATGAAGAATGCGCATAACTTCCTCAGAAGAAGCCAAGACGTGGAAAATGGAACAATTTCTCGAATACAAAGGCAAACCACAGTCCACAGCAAAGAGCTTTCGGAGATATAGGCCCACGATCAAGGTTGGTGACCAAATAAATCGAACTTCGGACAGCATGAAATTATTGGGAACCACCCTGCACAACAGATTTGACTTCTGCCGTCACGTAGACTATGCGTTGTCAAAGGCCAAAAATACGAATAACGTTTACCATAGGCTATTTCGGATGCGAGGGGGACTACAAGCTTGTAATCCCTTCCATAATAACCTATTCCTTTGCGCTTAACTTATTCGAAAGAAGCCAAGACGCGGAAAATTGAACATTTCCTGGACTATCAAGAGAAAATCGCCAATATACAAAGAATGAAGCATATGCCACTCGCGGCTCTACTAAAATTACGCCATGAAGGAGGGCCCTACGATGATGTTCGTTTGATGTACTACCATCGTAGATATCACAGATTTGACGCCGGTTCTAAGACTGTCTGCAGCACAGTTCAGTAATAATTAGGACCGAAGCTCACAATGCGGCCCTAATATATTCTTTGCTATCGAAGTCTCCTACATTGTAAGCCCCACGGCAAAGCATAATGTTGGTCTACAAATCTATTTTATACAGTAGATATGTATAACCTGACAATTAAATATGAATAAATGACAAATATAAAAGTGAAAGTCCCTCTCTCTAATTTCCCACAACAAAATACATTCTCGTTGCAACAATCTGACGTATCCCATCTTCGAAAACACGCCGTCAAAAAACTGCTCTATGTCGGAATTATTAATTGAGGTGTATCCCTAGGACGACCACTAATTTTCATAAGACCTTTCGAATCTTTTCTTCTTTCTTTTCCAATAAGAGTTCTGTCTATAGTATTCTGTAAATAAGTTTTCCGTATTTAAAATGCATTTTTTATACCAATTCAGGTTTGTTCTATATCACATGAGGAAGGAATAAATATAAGTTATCTCCTCTTAATATATACCGAATCATTCAATGCGATTTTTTGCAATGCTATTTTGATTGGATGCAAATGAGAATGATAAATGACTTGATGTCTGATGTCAGTGAGCAAATCCATTTTAAGAAACTTACATCGAACTATTGACGGTGATAATCTCATAATCATTGTCGGGATTCTCAAAGATATTATCAACATATTGCTGGCCAGCGGTGCCGGCAACAATTGTGGCACGTCCCATCCAATTGGTGGCAATGTTTCTGGAAAAAAAATACAAATCCCTTAAAAAATGAATCCTTTTCAAACATTTTCTTTTACTTACCTATAAAATCCATTATGTGCCGTACTCTGATAGATTGGCAGGCGTACCTTCTCAAAGCCCGACACCTCAACGATGCGACCTCCCACATTACTGTGAACATAGTTGTAGCTGAAATTCGATACAACTTGTCGCAGGCGTATAACATCTTCATAGCCGGCTTGATTTTGAGCGAAATAGTTGCGATATAGCTCCACTTCTTGATAGGGCGATGACTGGCGACCCTCAACGAAGAGGGCGGGACGATTACGATTCTTCAAGAATAGATTGTGATGTATGAAGCCACGCAGTGATGTTGCAGAGCCACGGGAGTCGGCTCGCAGTTTAAGGCCACCTTGGTTGTTGAGCAGGAGATTGTTCTGAAAAGTAAAGGGGAAGGGGGAATTGTTTAAAGAATCTTTCATAGAAAAGTTTGAGGAAAATGTTCATAGATCGATTTCAGAGGAGTTTTATGTACACCTGTTCTATAAAAGGATATACTCTCTCAAAAGTACGTTATATAGGGCAGACCCTTGAAAGGCCCAAAATCATGAATAGAAAATAAAATATCGGGTGTCTATGATGTACAGAACAATTCTAATGAGATTAGATTTCGTATGAGGAAGGCTGTTATCAGATATCCTATTAGAGTGATTAATGAGAATCTTCCTCTTCAAACCATAGAAGAATCCCCCGGTTGGGTTATACGTATGGGACATCTCTTCTGATACGGAAGACACTTTGCAAAGGCTTGCTATACGTAGAATATCCTCTTCACACGTATTTTATGTATGAAAGTTCTCCATATAGGTTTCCTAATACGTTGCTCTATATGTAGGAGTCTTCTACGGAATAGCCTTTTAAAAAGTCTTCTACGTTAGGCATTTCTCTTTCAGAGTTATTTTTTATATTGCAGCACCTCGATAGGTTTCCCTATATATTTAAGATTTTTTGGCTTTCGAGTTTAGTTCCCTTACCATAAAGAAGAAAGAATTCATATTCTGGACATCAACATTCAGGGCAGCATCACAGGTCGAAAAATTGCCATATAACTGTAAACAATTCCTTTCTATGCGATTTGAGGTCAATGTCAAGGTTGGAGTAACTTCACCCGCAGAGGTGTATACAACAGCACCCTTGATGGCACCGCTTATGTGAGAGTAGGTAACATTGTGCAGGGCATCGCGATCTGAAAAAAAAAACACAAATTTCGAAAATTAATAAATTGTTAGACCGAACACAAGAAGTCAACTTTTAAAGGGGAAAACACATTAGTGGATATTGCTAGCCTTTTCTTCAAAGACCAAAAAAAAAAAAAAAATATATGGTTGACCTAGTTCATTTTCGGCTCATAATTTAAACTTGGTAATCAAAAAGACCTATGTTCTTTTACAAAAAAAAAAAAAAGAAAGAAAATAAAATAAATCTCTTATGCATTCTTATCTTTAGACTTTCGATTTTGGTTTTTAACAGAACAGTCAACCTTTCGATTTTGTCCAATCAGCCAAAAATCGATTTTTAATGTTAACACAAAAGTCGATTTCTATTTTAGATTTCTTGATGTGTAGGTCTGTCTCAGAAACTGCAATTATTGAAATAACAGAAAACCAAAATTAAAATTTTCAAAACCAATGTGTATCTGTGAGCTCATATGAAAATAAAAAGTCGATCAAAGTCGATTTTGTACAATCTATGCTATTAAAATCAAAAATCGATTGACAAAATTCGATTTTGTGATTTTATAGAAACTAAAATTTTGAAATCGAAAATCGATTTTGAGATTTTATAGAATATATGATCGTAAATCAATTACAAAAAAAATTAAAGTCGATGGAGAAAGTCGATTTTGTGGAATATATAATCTTATAATCGAAAATCGATTTCAAAATTCGACTTTGAAATTTTAGAGAACCGATGATTTTGAAATCGACTTTGAGATTTTATAGAATATATGCTCGTAAATCGATTACAAAAAAAATCAAAGTCGCTCAAAAGTCGATTTCGTGGAATCTATAATCATAAAATCAAAAATCGATTTCATAATTCGACTTTGAGATTTTATAGAACCGATGATTTTGAAATCGACTTTGAGATTTTATAGAATATATGATCGAAAATTGATTACGAAAAAATGAAAAGTCGATTTTGTGAAATCTATGATTTAAAAATCAAAAATCATTTTTCCAAAATTTGAATTTGTGATTTTATGATTTCGAAATCGAAAATCGACCTTGAGATTTTATAGAATATTGCATTGAAAATCGATTACAAAAAAATTAAAAGTCGTTTAGGAAAGTCAATTTAATTGCCGAAATTCTACTTTGAGATTTTATAGAACCTATGATTTCGAAAGCGAATATCGATTGCCAAAAATCGACTTTGAGATTTTATTACGATTAGGAAAAGTCGATTTTATGGAATCTATGGTCTCAAAATCGAAAATCGATACCGAAAAGTTGACTTTGATTTTTAAATAAAGTAATCCTAATGTTTTAAAGAATCAATGCTCTCATAATCGAAAATCGATAACAAAATGTGGACTATGAGATATTATTCATGGTAGAAAAATATTGGTAGATGCATCAACGCTTAGGAGCTTTGATATGTCAAAAATTTTTAATTTTCTTTTCAAATATGAGAAGATTTTTACATGTTTTCTTATACGACGTTATTCGGAGGATATTATAATACTCGTTTTTCAACAATTTTTACAAATTTAAATAATGTTTCATTCAACATTTTCAATTCCAAATTTGGTTTGACAGTTCATTGTCCCAGCAGGTGTGCCGATGCTTCTTCGTATATTCTTCTACCATGGAGATATTATAGAATCTATGATTGAAAATCGATTGTCAAAAATCAACTTTGAGATTTTACAGAATATCGAAAATCGATTACGGTTTTATGAAATCTCTGATCTCAAAATCAAAAATTGATTGCCAAAATCGACTTTGAGATTTTATAGAATCTATGATTTCAAAATAGATATTTACAAAATGTAGGCCCCAAGAATTTGTACAAGCAATGATCTCAAAATCGAATATCGAGTATAAAAAGTGAATACGGAGATTTTATAGAATCTATGATCGAAAAGCCGTTGCCAAAACTAGCCTTTGAGCTTTAAAATCGATTGCCAATATTCGACTTTGAGATTTTATAGAACCAATGATTTCGAAATCGAAAATCGATTGCCAATAATCAACATTCAGATTTTTTAGAATATTTAATCGAAAATCATCAACTTTTCGATTTTATAGAATGTATTGTCTTAAAATCGAAAATCGATGCCGAAAATATTGACGCTAAGGTTTTATAAAAACAATTATCTCAAAATCTTAAATTAATTATTAAAACTGGATTTTATGAATTTATGATTTCGAAATCGAAATTCAATTGCAAAAAAACCGACTTTGAGATTTTTATGGAAACTATGATCACAAAAACCGATACCTTAAAATAGACTTTGCGATTTTAAACAAATCTAGATTTCAAAATTGAAAATCGTTTTCCAAAGTCAACTTTTGAGGTTCTCAACTATATATGATCTTCAGATTGGAAAATCGATTACAAAAAGTTGACCGTGAAATTTATCGAATCGTTGATCTTAAAATTCATCAATCGAAAAGTCGACTTCAGATAAAAATGTATTTCAACATTTTGGCCAAGGCCAATATAAGATCGGTCAAGAAGACTACTTTTGAAAAAAAATGTTTACACCTTCATTAAATTTTAAATCACAATATATATTCTGACCTTATATAGGCCAGGTGAGAGTACATAAATCGTTTTTTTTTGACCGGATTAAGTCATCGGCTGGCTTCCTTGTAAAAGAACAATGGAGTTTGAGGTTCTCTTAGTTCAATTTCGGCCCATAACTTATAATCGCTCCTTTGTTCTTTTACGAAGAATCCTACCGATGACTTCAGCCAGTCAAAAAAAAAACGTTTTATGTATTCTCACCTTTCGACTTTGCGATACCAAACGTCGATTTGTCGAAATTCGACTTAGGTATCCCTATCTCAAAAAAATCGTTCAACTTACTTATACCAATCGTTGAAATGGGCACCGTCACCACCTCGGCTATGAAACCATGATATTCGGGAGCACCACTGGCCATTAGATGAACACTTAGGGTGGGACCTTCAGTCTTGAAAAATGATTTCTGATTATTCGTATCCGATTCGATTTGACCCATAAATAGCGATGTGACATTGTACACATCACCATCATAGAGACGTATCGAATCCATGCGCCCATAAAGTTTGGAATGATTGAAAAGATTCGATTGTAACAGACGGAATCCCAATGGCTTGGCACGATAGGCTGAGGTGAACATTTTCACACAATTCACTGGGTTATTGTCATATTTATAGTAGAGCAGGACTCGTTCCTCCACGGTGATGGTTTTCTGGGGATCACAAATGTCAATCATGGAAAAGAGTTTGTAGGGTAGGTCCAATTTTTTGAGTGGTGTAAAACTGGATTCATCACTCTCACGGCCCTCACCGGTTAGGGAGAGTATGTTAATGCCGGAACCCAGGGCTTGGGATATGTTTAAAAGATTGAGGTTTAGCGCCCCTGAGGGAACCACAAAGTTAAGGCCATGATTGGCCGAATTTTTGATGGTTACCGCCGAAATGGACGGGGTCTTGTAGATCGCTTGAATGGCTGCTGATTTCTGATTGTGCAGAATTCCTGCATTCTCTATCCGCACAAATTCCAGGCGACTTTGTTGATGCTTCTGCAGTCCATGGGTGTGGATGTCATGATAACGTTGCTCATATTGATTCTGTTCGAACTCAGAGTTGGTGAAACGAATGCCACCCCAGTAGACCTCATCTTCGGGTACACCGGCACAGCTGACGAATACAAAAACATCATCCCAATGGCATTCATGACGATGACCATAAACCTGGCCGTTGAGACGTTCCTCACAATCGGACATGCGTATTTCATCACCTCTACACTCCAGCGGCTGGACCCAGGTCCAAATGCGTGTCAACGAATTTGTGTGGAATTCAATGCGTCGATCGTGGCTGTAGTACACATTGAGCGGGTCATAGCCGAGCTCTCGACACACCACCTGGGCATTACGTTCGGTGAAACGACTATCACATATCGGCACCCATTGTAACGTGGTGTGATTGAAGTATTCCAAGAAACCCTGATTGATTTCGAACATTTTATCCATGTCAGAGCTGCAATTTTGGGAATTCGTACACAGACGTATGGAATCGTAGGCCTGCAGTTGTTCCATTTCCATGTCCAGGGCACGTTTGTTAATCAGGGAATAGGATTCATGGGTGGCATTTTTGAAGGGTTTCATAATTATCGGTGACTCTTCATATCCAATGGCATTGAGGGTGCCTAGGACCAACATACCCACATTCGGCTCAAACTCCATTTGTACTCCGTGGTGAATGGTCAGAGTGGCCTCGGGCATCACCGTGATATCGTTGCGTATTATATAGGGATATTCACGTTTTCGAAGTACCAAATCAGAGTAAATTCGCCCTCCCTGCCAGCGATTCAAATCAATGAGATCACGATTTTCCTTGACCAGGGATATGCTGGCATCCATGGTATCCTCGATCAGGAAAGGTTGATAAATCACATCCGCATGATCATTCCAGTTGTCAAAATCGAAAATCTTCCCCTCAATCTGGGAAATATCCGTTGAGCCCCACCAATTTTCCGTGGCATAGACATAGTTATCCACTCGGGCCGATCTCAAACCCGCCACCAGATTATATCTCAAACTATTCTCGGCTATGAGATTCCTGTAGAGCTTTACATTTTGTATGCCATCCAGACGTATGACGGCTGTATTCAAAGAATTTATGCTGGCCTGTTTACGGGCATGTTGCAGGGCCGGCAAATGCCGTAGGACCTCATAGTTGTTATTTTGTTTTATCGTGTTATATTCCACCAAAGCATGGACCTCTCCAAATTTCTCACTTAAGCTATCCGCCTTGAATTCCATTATGAATTTAGCCTGATTTTGTTCTATGCGATTGTAGCTGAATTTCATGCGTTTCTCCATACCCATGACCGAAATGAGACTCCTCGGTGCCTGATTATTCAAAAAGGCATTTGAGGTTATGTTAAAGTCGGCATAATGTCCCGACACATCGATATAGAAATTGCGGTTCCTTTGCCAGGTGGTATTGCCAAAATGTATGCTATGCGTGAAATTCTCATTGTATTGCCAAACATAGGGGAGGGATACCTGGAAGCCACCATTTTTATTATCCTCCACGGTGGTATCTTGCACCACATAATGGAAGAGATTGTTGGAGGACCGTAGATCCTTGGACAACTGCCTTATGCCATAGCCATTTTGCAGAATCTTGGAATTGTTAACATGCACCGTGATCTCCGAGAGATTGCTGCTTATCACATCCCAATAGGGGGAGTTGATGAGTATGGCCTCCAGGTCATTGTTGCTTAGCTCACTGTTGACAATCTTTATGGACTCATTGGCCTTGCGCATATACAGCTCTCCCTCGCTGCCATAGTAACGATTGTAGTACAGGGCCGATATGCCTCTTAGATTCTTTTGTATTTTGGTGGATCTGATGTGCAGCGAGGGCACTGGACCTCCCACAATGCGATTACGTATATTCTGTACCGGGGCCTGAACCGTGGTCAACATCAAAACCGCCCCTCCCAAGGCATTATCTCCACTCTCATAATAAATTATGATGCCATAACCGCTACTGGTGGTGGGAAAGACATTCAAATCCCGGCGTACATCCCACAGCTGGGCCCTCGGATTTTCCGATTGGGAATTCAAAATCTTTAGACTCTCGGTGGAGAGATTATTTATCGGATTCAATAGCTGTATACCCAAAACATAACCTGCGGGGCAGCGGATGTGAAACTTTTTCTCCACATTTTCACCTCCCCTCACCTCCTCGGTGCGCACGTACTTACTTTCCCAGGTGCCGAGCTCTATGTTACCCTCATCTCGGGGCAAAACAAAAGGCTCATAATTCGATTCAAAGGAATTGAAATCCACTGCCATTTTAAACCATCCTCCCAGCTCAAATTGATCCTTGGCCGCAATCACCGGGTCATGGGAAATGCCACTGCCCAGGTTATTTTTAATTATGGATCCCTGGATCCTAAAGTCCAGCTGTTTCAGACTAATGCCACTGCCACGATTGCCCACGAATTCTGAGTTCCTTATATTATTTATGGCCTTGCCACCATACAAATCGGCATAGATAACACCCAGGCCATCATCGAGATTATCCACAATTCGCACATTATCCAAGTTATGGCGGGCAAAATCCATTTGCAGGGCCGGCTTAAAGCTGTTCGTGGTATAATCAAACAAGCCCGCCTTTTCAATGGTGACATACTGCAAATCTGCTCGCTCCGCCAGCATGCTGAAGCGTACGCCCGCCCAGGCTCCCTCATAGCAGCGTATGCCCACATCATTTTCATGGCTACAAGAATTTTCAAAATCTCCCTGCCACAAATATTCCGCCTTACATCGCGTGATATCGCGATCATGTTCTGTACACTGGACATTTGAGACAATTACATCTTCCGTGAGGCCCGCAGCAGGCATTTGGGAACGCAGCAAACGCCAATCCTTGGGGTTAAGGGTATAGCCCAGATGATGGCATACCAAGGCTGCATTCAACTCCGTCCAGCCATAATCACACACCGTACCCCATCTATCGTTGACATACAGCTGCAAACGACCCTCATAGGGCCCAGCTCCACCTAAGAGCCTTACTGGGACCTTGGGTATCTCATCCACACCACCTCCACCGCCACCACTCATAATCGATTCCGTTTCCATGTCAATCATATCAATTAAATCATGATTCAAGGTGGAGCTATCCACATCCATAATGGGTTGGCGTTTTAGGGTGAGGAAAATATCATCAGGTCGGCGACCTCTTGCCTCCAGTTTCCCTGCCACCATCATGCCCACACTGGGCTCAAACTGCAGGGTCACTCCAGGTTGTAAAATCAATTTCCCGCCAGGCCGTATATTTATGTCCTTATTTACCGTATAGGTCCCTGGTGGTATCATTTCCTGGCCATCCACCTCCCCGCCAATGTATTCGGAATTTTCCACATAAAACCTGGGCACAAAGGTTGAGGTATATATCACCGTTGATGAGCCTGGATTGGAGCTATGCAGCAAATACGGGATATACTGGATCTTGGCCAAATTGTAGCGATCATTGCGATGAAAGAGCCTCGAGAATATTTTTACCTCCTCCGAGGAACCCAACCAATTGTAGGTGGCATTGATAATCTGGCTCTGATCACTTAGCTGGGAACCAATCTCATAGGCCGAATCCAAGTTGTTTAAAATATTCCGGAAAATATCCACATTACTTGAGCTCACCACCACGGCGGCAGCAACTCGGGAGCGGGGATTTAGCCTTCCCGCACCATCTGAACCCTCACTGCCATCCAATAGAGGGCCAAAGAACTCCGTTATCTTATTCTCCCGCACAAAATTCCTTGAGAACAACAAATGTTGTACCTCCCTGCGGCTATAGGGCGAGAGACCCAAGGACACAACATGGACCCCCTTGTTGCGACTGAAATAGTTACTCTGGATCACCAAATGGACCGGCATAAAATTGAATTCCTGATATATAAAATCATTTCGTATATAAATACAACCATACATGCCATAGCGGAATTGATTGAACTCAATACGCCCCCTCATGTTGAGGGCAGGGCTGAGATATATTGCATTCTGCTGGCTATTCTCAAACGAATTATGGCCAATTTGCAAAAACATATTGGGTTCCTTCGGTTCCAGTGACTTCCAACAGCTCTCCAGGCGTATATCATTACCCGCACTGCCATTGAAAAAGTTCCCCGTCAGATTCACCCACAGAGGCTGGCAGAAATTCCCGTGTAACACTCCCACATCCAGATTGGAATTGATGTGACTATATTCCACCGCCGTGGTCTGATTAAAGGCCAGATATTCCACTCGATTGGGGTCCGTGGTTTCATTTAGCCACACTGCAATGCCATAGCCTTTATTGAAATCCACATAACTCCTTGAGATATTGCGATTGCCACCAACATAGGTTATGTTCACTCCGGAACCATGATTATAGCTGATATTGGTCTCCGTGATATTTACATCTCCCGCACCACTTGTCACATGGAAACCGGCCACATGGCCATTCCCCGAAATTGAGCTGCCATGTAAATGGACCCTGGATCTCAGACTATCCACAGCAATACCACGACCCCCATTATCCTGCACCACCGAATCCAGGACCCGCAAATCAAAGGCACTCGTTTCGCCCGTTGTTATGCGTATGAAACCCAAAATCTCCTCCCGCATGGCTGCCTTGATGCGCACAAACAACTTCTCCCGGGTACTCGTTACACTCTGAGGACGGGAATAATTCCTGGCGCTCCACACAAACAGCAAACGGTCATTGGCCGAGGCACCATCGTATATTTCCACCGAGGCTGTATCATTATTCTTCAAAGTAAACTGTTCAAACTGCACCGTCAGGACATAACCGGGTTTGGAAAAGAAATACTTGGAACATTCCTTGGCAGAGCCGGCATAAAATTTCTGGGTAAAAGACAAGGTCAATGGATATGTCTGCCCTGATGTGGTGGGCAAGGTACAGAAATCATAAATTGAAGATCGATCTGGTCTCTCATCCACCCGCAAATCATGGCCCACATATTTCACACCATCCCCGGCATTATCCTGGATATTGCAACCACTTAGCTGGACATAGCCCTGGCTGGAATTCACAAACAATCCAATGCCATTACTTTTCCTTATTGTCACATTCTGCAATGCAAATCCGCCATAGGGTCGGGTGGCATTAAATCCCGTATACGCGGAATGTGTAATCACCACATGTTGTGTTTGAGGAGGAACTCCCACCGACTCTATGGCCGCCTTGGTTGCCTGCTTCAAACCATTTCCCGCTCTCAAGATGTCCACATATTTCAGTGTCGACTGGGATTTGGTGTAGTACACCGTGTTGTCTTTGGCCAGTGTTTTTGTGGTCGGGGCATTTTCAAAATACAAGCCTGCCCAGTGGCTCAGCTGTAGGTTGTGCATAGCTTTGCATTGTATGCCAATATCACTGTGATAATCACATACTCCCGAACCCAACTGCCGCGTCGACCAATCACAGTCGAGTAGAGAATTTTCTGTTCCCTTACAATTGGGCAGTTCGTAGAGTAGACGTGGTTTCCAGCCCGGGCTACGATCAACCCAATTCCAAAAACGTCCTCCCTGGAAACCCATTTGACGACAGGCCACCGCATAATCGGTCATGGTCCAACTGCAATAAAAAGAGGGGGAAATTAAATAAATTTTGATTAAAAATTTGAAATGGGTATACACCCTGCCAATGTTCGATTATTTAAATATATTTTGATTTCTGTTAAGATAGTAAATTCCGAAGGAGTGGGCCAATATTGTCAATTTCGTATCGGACCTAAAAATTATGATACAAACATTGCGACGTGCCAGGTTTGGATTGTATCGACTACTTCCTTTTTTTAAGGAAAATCAAAAATTCCATATTAAGCTCTGATTTCTGGTTGAAAGGCATATTTAGATATAGAAAGTTGTAAATAATCGATAATATGTGAATTGTGACCCTTTGTGGGTGAGGTGCCAGAAGGGATTCGCAGATATATATATCTTCTTCAAAACAGATCTTATGTTAGCGGAAATGTTTGTATGGGTGAAATTTGAAGAGAGTTAGTTGCTTATTTTATTTGCTGCTTTCTTTGAGCGTTTTGTTCTTCAAAATCTTGAACCCTATGCAGGCGACGTACCAGAAGAAATTGTCCGATCTCTAGCATATTTATAACAGATCTTCTCTTAATGGAAATATTGATATGTACCAAGTCTGAATGGAATCGGATTTTAATTTCGCGTTTATGAGTTTCATGGATATTCAAAGTTTTGACCCTTGTGGGGGAGATATACCAGAAGGTGCGATTTAACTCATCTTCTCAGCAGATCTTGTGTTAGTAGAAATAATGGTATGTGTGAAATATGAAGAGAGTCGGATGTTTTTCAGATTTTATGATAGTTTTGGTTATTCAAAACTTTGACCCTTTGTGGGGAAGGTACCAGAAGAAATGGTTCGATTTCTACCAGCTTTATAACAGATCATATAATGATGGATATTTTGAGATACACCAAATCTAAAGGGAATCGGACGTTAATTTCGTGTTTTTTGAGTTTCATTGATATTCAAAATTTTGACCCTCTGTGGAGAAATACCAGAAAGAGTTGACCGTCTTCACAGCATATCTTGTGTTAGTAGAAATAATGGTATGTGTGAAATATGAAGAGAGCCGGATGCTTTCTTCGAATTTTTAGTTTTAGTTATTCAAAACTTTCATCCTTTGTGGGGGAGGTACCAGAAGAAATGGTCCGATCACTACCATCTTAATAGCACATCTTGTGTTGATAGAAAAATGTAGATGTGCAGTGTCTAAATAGAATCGGATGTTAATTTCGCGTTTTATGAGCTTCATGAATATTCAAAATTTTGACCTTTTGTCGGGGAAGGTACCAGAAGGAGGGGGAACGATATATTTCATCTTCACGCCAGACCTTGGACTAATAAAAATATTGTGGTTTGTGTAATTTGAAGACAACCGGATGCTTACATCACATTTTAAAAGAGTTATAATTATTAAAAATTTTGACCCTTTGTGAGGGAAGCACTTGATGGAGTGGATCCATTTTTGTACCTGACCGAGAACTGAGGCAAATATTAGGCTTTGCTTAGTTGGAGCAAAATAGGATTATTGCTTCTCTTTCTGTGCAGAAAAAATAAAAATATATTTTTTGAAAATTTCAACTATTGTGGGGGAAGTACCACACGGAGTGGACCAGACCTTGGGTTAATAAAATTGAAGACAATCGGACTCTTACATCATATTTTAAAGCGTTGTAATTATTCAAAATGTTGACCCTTTGTGGGGGAGGTATTTGATGGAGTAGACCGATATTGTCCATTTTTACATCTGACCTAGCACTGACGCAAATATTAGGAATTGCAAAGTTAAAGCAAAATCGGAATTATCGTTACTCTTTCTGTGCAGAAAATATTTTTTTTGAAAATGTTGACCTTTTGTGGGAGAGTTACCACACGGAGTGGACCGATGTATTCCATCTTAACACCAGACCTTGGGTTAATAAAATTTTTGGGATGTATGAAATTTGAAGACAATCGGATTCTTATATCACATTTTATAAGAGTTAAAATTATTCGAAATTTTGACCTTTTGTGGGGTTGGTACTTGAAGGAGTGCACGGATATTATTCATTTTCGACCTGACCTAGCACTAATGCAAATTTTAGGATTTACAAAGTTGGAGCAAAAATTTATTATCCTTTCTCTTTCTGTACAATAAATTATTTTTTGAAAAGTGTCGAACTTTTTTGGGAGGTACCAGAAGGAGTGGACCTATAAGTCACATCTTCGAACTCGATCTAAGTTTGATAAAAATATTACGATATGTCATGATTGGATCAAATCGAATACTACCTTCGAGAGTTATCGTGCGTCCCAGCCAGACAGACAGACGGACGCACGGACATCGATAGATCGACGCCAAATGTCCTGAAACGGATTTGGTCCACAGAGACCTAGGGTCTAAACCGTTATTATGATGAGCCATGTTTTGGGCGTATCAAATGATATATACCCTCTGTAGCCTATGACTCAGGGTATAAAAATACATGGTAGACGTAATCGCATTTGCCAAAACGGTACTGGCAATTCTTGTTTATACTCTCCACCATATTACGGAGCGTATATAAAGTTTGTCATTCCGTTTGTAACACCTCGTAATATACATTTTAGACCCCACAAATTATATACATATATTCTTGATCAGCATACAATTCTATGTCGATTTAGCGATGTCCGTCTGTCTGTGAACATCACTCTAGCTTCCGAACGAAATGAAGTAGGTTGATTAAATTTTACTCAAATGTATATTACATCTGCAGGACTTTTGGTATTGAAATTGGGCCATGGACCATTTTGATATAGCCCCCATATCAGGGTACCTCACTATTTTCGGTATTTAGGTTATTTAAACGACATTATTTACCGGAATTGTTTTAAATTTCGTATTTGAAGTTCGCAAAGGATACTACAGCCTAAGACAAAAAATTGTCTGTGTAAGTCCTCGTCTTCGTATAGCCCCCATGTAAGGGAACTTCCAGATATTCGGTATTTTGATGATATTAGCGAAATTATTCGCCGCAATTGTTTCAAATTTTGTTTTTGAAGTTCGTAATGGATACTCCAGCCTAAGACAGAAAATTTTCTGTGCAGGTTCACGTCTTCGTACAGCCCCCATATAACGGCACCTCCCGATATTCAGTATTTTGATGATTTTAGAGACATTATTTACCGGAATTGTTTCAAACTTGGTATATGAAGTTCGTAATGGATAGTACAGCCTAAGACAGAAAATTGTCTGTGCAGGTCCAAGTCTTCGTATAGCACTCATGTAACAGTATCTCCCGATATTCGGTTTTTTGATGATTTTAGCGACATTATTCACCGGAATTGTTTCAAATTTGGTATTTGAAGTTCTTAATGGGTATCACAGCCTACCACAGGACAGAAAATTGTCTGTGCAGGTCCATGTCTTCGTATAGCGCCCATATAACGGCACCTCCCAATATGGGGTATTTTGATCATTTTAGCGACATTATTCACAGGAATTGTTTCAAATTTGGTACCGGAAACTACAGCCTAAGACAGAAAACTGTCTGTGCAGGTCTACGTCTTTGTATAGCACTCATGTAACAGTATCTCCCGATATTCGGTTTTTTGATGATTTTAGCGACATTATTCACCGGAATTGTTTCAAATTTGGTATTTGAAGTTCTTAATGGGTATCACAGCCTACCACAGGACAGAAAATTGTCTGTGCAGGTCCATGTCTTCGTATAGCGCCCATATAACGGCACCTCCCGATGTTGGGTACTTTGATGATTTTAGCGACATTATTCACCGAAATTGTATCAAATTTGGTATTTGAAGTTCGCAGTGGATACTACAGCCTAAGACAGAAAATTGTCTGACAAAAGTTGCCTATGAAAGTCCACGTCGTCGTATAGACCCGAATATAACGGCTAAATTCGGTATTTTTAAAATTTCTAACGGATTTTATTTTTTGAAAAATGGCCAAATTTGTTCCAAATGGTGGAGGGTATTCAAAGTTCGGCGCGGCCAAACTTACAGCTTTTTTACTTGTTTATATTTGGAACTCATCTATCAAAAAATGTGAAAAATAATTCCATACTTATTAACCTAAGACTAGTGGCGTATTTTTCCTTAATTTTTTGTATCAAAAAACTCGATGTATGTCATGTGTTTGCACGAGATTTCGTTATCGTAAAACTCGGTCGGTAATCTGCTATTAGTTTGCATTATTATTATGGAAATATTATATATAAATAAATTATTTTAGGCACTTTTGATGATATTTGAATATCAAAATTCACTATTAGTCTGATACTTCTGCAAAAAATATTTTTAAAAAATCCATGGTTGAAAAAATATTTTTAAAAACTTTCCAAATCAAAAAGTTAAAAAATTTACAAGAAAAACCTGAACACTTTGTGAAAATTTGACTTATGACAAATCGGTGAACCTCACAGTCTAAAAAAATTGGAAGATGAGTTAATCTGGCCACTGAGAAGCCGAAATGCAAAATTACTTCTGATTTCTGTGGAATTTAGACCGGAATTTTTAAAATTTCGGAAATGAGGAGATATCTTGGGAGCTATTCGTAAACATGGATCGATATCTTCTATTTTCAATATCGAATAATCTAGGTGTAAAATATTGGGAACTTTATCGAAATTTAAAATTGGGTAAATCGACATGGACTAATCGGTCCTCTATTTTATGGGGAGTTATAGTGGCGATTATGGTTGTCATAGACTCTGAATAAAAAGATTTAAAAATCAGTAAAATATTCTAATATTTTGGCTTTGAGTGTCACCCTACGTCACTTTCGAAGCCTGGGTAAATCGACATAGACTAATCGGTCCTCTTTTTTATTGGGAGTTATAGTCGCGATTATGGTTCTCATAGTCTCTGAATAAAAAGATTTAAAAATTTGTAAAAATATTCTAGTATTTTGGCTTTGAGTGTCACCCTAAAATTTTACGTCACTTTCGAACCCTTTAGCCCATTTCCGAGCTTTAAGTGTTTTGTTTTTCTACTATTTTATTTTTTAATTACAACAATAACTTACTTTCTGGAATTGGTGCACACCGGACGCCATGCTCCCTTGTGGAAGATCTCCAATCTGCCTTCAAGTGGTGTTGGACCATCCACTAAACGTATGCCACGTTCCTCAACATCGGGTAACTCAACATTATGACCTTGGGCTGTCAATGTAATGCGTGCCGTAGGGGTACCCTGTAAAAGAAAAGAAAACATTAAAACAAAAAAAAAATTACAATTGAGTTACAAAACCAACAAAAAAAAGAAAGACAGAGAGAGAGAATTAAATGGATGAATAATAAAGGTTAGGCAATAACAAATTATAATTTAATTAGCATAGAAAATGATGATCAGCTAGCTTGCGAGTGGAGTGTCTTCCACGACTTCCTAGATGTTGTTTAAATGGAGGCAGTGGAAGTCATAACCTCGGCAATTAACATTTCTTGTGACCTCCTCTTGGCCCATAGATGTGGTGTCACATTAAGGCATATGGCACAAGTAATGACTGTCTTGTGGCGGTTGCGGCATCCACTGCCACTACAGCTAAATTACTACTTAAAGCCCCGCCATTAATGTACCATGAGCGTGAGTGACCACAATAGGAAGTTCATCATGTTTTGGGTCATGCAGTGAATGACAAATACCTCAATTATCGCTTTCTTATAGCGGTTTTCGTTTATTTATTTTCTCTCTCATTTAATTTGCTTATTTATTAAATGCCAACATAAAGCGTAATGCCTATTATATTAGGTGTAGTGGGGTGGAACGAGTACAGGAAGGAGTCGACATTTTTCTTTCAATTCGTATCTGAGCTAAGACTGATATAAATATTACGAAGTGACATATTTGGACTATATCGATTACTTCCTGTACTCTTTATGAGATATGTGCAAATTTGTGGAAAATGTGGAAATATGCGTGAGGTTACAGATATGAGAAATCATCAAATCCGATAAATTCCATATTTATATCTTATCTTATCTCGCTTTATTTGAGCGTTTTGTTTTTCAAAAATCTTGAACCCTATGTGGGGAAGGTACCAGAAGTATGGTCCAATCTCTACCATCTTTATAATAGATCTTGCGTTTATGGAAATGGTGAGATGTGCCAAGTCTGAATGAAATCGGATGTTAATTCCGTTTTTTATAAGCTTCATGAATATTCAAAATTTTGACACTTTGTGGGGGAGGCACCAGAAGGAGTGAACCGATATATTACATCTTCACGCCAGATCTTGGGTTAGTAAAAATAATGCGATTATTTTGGATTTTATGATTGTTTTGGTTATTGAAAATGTTGACCCTTTGTGGGGTAGGTACCAGAAGAAATGGTCCGATCTCTACCATCTTTATAACACATATTGTGTTGATGAAAATATTGAGATGTGTCCACTTTGAATGGAATTGAATGTTAATTTCGCGTTTTAGGAGCTGCATGGTTCTTCAAAATTTTGAGCTTTTGTGGAGGAGATACCACACCTTGGAATAATAAAGACAGTCGGACTTTTACATTAAATTTTATAAGAGATAACATTATTCCAAATTTTGACCCTTTGTGGTGGAGGTACTTGATATTGTTCATTTTTGCACATGCCTTAGTACTGATGCAAATATTAGGATTTGTAAAGTTGGAGCAGAATCGGATTATTTTTTTCTCTTTCTGTACAGTAAATTATTTTCTTTGAAAATGTTGATATTTTGTGGGGGAGGTACCAAAAGGAGCGGTCCGATATTGCCCATCACCAAACTCGCTCTAAGTTTGACAAAAAAATTACGATGTACCAAGGTTGGATCAAATCGGATACTCCCTTTGTGAGTTATCGTGAGCAGCAGACAGACAGATGGACGGACGAGATGAATGGTATTATATTTAGTAATCGGTGAAGGGATAGAGACAAAATTCTGAAATTTGATATTCAGATTACTGATGGTATATGTGTTTAAGATTTAACGGTGTTTTGAAAATGCGTCCTATATTTGTACGAAAAGTACTAAATGGTACAAAATTTAGTATTGTGATGGGGTAGGGCTGGAATCCTCAAATTTGATATTGAGGTCTCTGTTGGTATCTGGAATTGTGATATGGGGTTGGTTTCGTATATGTTTGTTATCATTTTACGATTTTACGAAAAAAATATGAAAAATCCATTCTAATGGTCTTGACAGTACTTGAAAATATTGCAAAAAATCTAGTCTTTGAAAAAATAATATTTAAAAAAATCTACCATCATGACTCTAATAGTCCTTCAAAAAATACTTAATAAAATCCATACTTTTTGTTCTGATAGTCCTTGAAAAATTCGTTTAAAAAATGCATTATATTAGTTCTGATAGTCCTTAAAACCTTCGTTTAAAATCCAACTTCAGGGCCCCGATAGTCCATGAAAAAATCGTTTTAAAAATTCCTTTTCCAAAGCAATAAACGTGGATTTTTAAGGATTTTTTCAAAAACTAAAATGGTCATGATTTTGAAAAAATCCTGAAAAATCCACGTTTATTGCTTTGGAAAATTTCTGAAAAATCCACACATATAGCTTTGAAAAAATTCGTTTCAAAAATCCACACTTATAGCTTTGAAGAAAAATCCACGCTTATAGCTTTGAAAAAAAATATTTTAAATCTACGCTTAAAACTTTTCAAAAATCCAATCCAATCCATTATAGTTTTAAAAAATTCGTCTTTCCTCGCTCATGGCTTTGAAAAATAGCTAAAAAATCCAGGCTTATGGTTTTGAAAAAAATCGTTTAAATAATCCACAAAAATCCAACTTTGAAAAATTCCTAAAAAATTCACTCTTACAGCCTTGAAAAAATCTTGAAAAATGCACGCTTAAAGCTTTGAAAAAATCCTGAAAAATCCACGCTTATAGCTTTGAAAAGGTTCGTTTCAAAAATCCACGCTTATAGCTTTGAAAATATCCTGTAAAATTCTCCCTTTGAAGAATTCCTGAAATATCCACGCATATACCATTGAAATACCTCTGAAAATCCACGCTTATAGTTATAAGTTATCTGGTACAAAATATCATTCTTGTAGAGTGCAGATTACGCATGTAAGGGACTTAAAACCCCAAATCGGATGAAACTTATATATGGGAGCTATAGCCGATGAACCGATTTTCATAAAATTTGAAATACTTGCTTCTAGACTGAATTCAGTTGAATATGCCAAAATTCAGGTCATTTGGACTGATAATAGCCATTTGGTGCACAATTAAAATGGAATCAGTTGAAGATATATGTATATGAGAGCTATATGTATATTAGAACCGATTCTCATCAATTTCAATAGGGTTCGTCTTTGGGCCAAACAAATGATTTGTGCAAATTTTCATCTCGTTCGGGCAATAAATGAGACCTGTGTTTTCTTTACAAAAATACATGGACAGATGGAGGGACGGACATGCATACATCCACTCAGAACGTGATTCTATGCTGATCATAAAAATGAACTATGGGTCTATCTTGCTTTCTTCTCCACGTTACAAACAAATTACCATTACGTTTTGTGTAGGGTATAAAAACGACAATTGCGGGTCCGGTGGTCCGAGCAAAAAAATGGTCGAATTGTCATTTTTCTTAAAAAAAAATCGTCATTTTAAAAAGTTTGGTCAATGAAGAAAATTCTAAAAAATTCAACATTTGGAGGACTGATTGCTTTTGATATAATTATTTTTAAAAAATCGACGATAGTGGTTCTTGTGGTCCATGCAGAAAAAATCTATACAATTTTAAGGTTAGTGATCTGCCAGTCTTTACGTTTTTTTTTTTAATATTTGTAATAATAGTGAAACTTGAATTAATTTTTCTTCAAAGGCCACCATCAAACCCTTTAAATTAACCTCTGTAACATTTCAGCTTTAGGTCTATCCACCCTAATAAACACTGCACCACAATAAACCCACATTCCATAAGCTTTTATTCTTCTCCCCCCCCCCCCCCCCCCCATTCATTTATGGGCTTATCTATGATTTGCATGTGAATAGCCAACGAATGCCAGATAAAATAAAGTTATTAATTCGACGGAACTAAATTTCCAGCGGACAACAACAAAGATGATGACACATGCGAACTTTGTCTGATAAGACGACAAGTGTCTAGCTCAGCCACTGGCCAGTAGCTATGAAATTCTTATTGGCTTTTTTTTTCCACAAACAAATGTCGTTGAAGAAGTGTGGCTCTGACTCGGTGTTCATTGATTCATTGACCTCTGTTTCCGCGCAATCTTATTTCCATTTTCTTTTTATTGACGGGATGACTGGATGGCGATTCTGGTGCAAAAAACGTTTAAGCATCGTCACATGCTGCCTTTGAACATAACACATAAAACTGAAAAAACACTTCAAATTAGTCATGATTCGTATGAAAAACGAGAACCCTGGACTTGCAGAAAAGGCAGATAAGGTCATAAAAGATACACAAACGCTTGTCAGCCAGCTAGCATATGTTTTTTAGTACTCAAGTGAGAATTGTTTGGCTTTCCAAGTGACCATATAAGTGGTGTGTGTGTGTGCGTATGTTGAACCACACTTCTGATGACAGGAAGACCGACCAGTTACTCTTTGGAATTTGTATGGGGTCTACTGTTGTTTTTTTTTTTTTTATTTCCTCTCTGTAACCTAACAAACGGAAGGAGGAGAAGAGTGGGGTGGCTCAGAATTTGTAAGGTTACCTTATTCTCATTTTACCCAACCAGACCCCAGCAACCTGCCAGCTAATCAAGCAACAACTTAAAAAAGCTTTGTTGTTGTTTTTGTTGCTACCAACATTTGTAACAGTTCAGGTTTATTACCTGTCATTACAGTTCTAACTTGAGTCGTTGCCAGAACACTTCAACTTCCGCAAGTAGTGTCTCCTATTAAAGTTGGAGCTATGTTTATTGGACTTAATTAAAAAGAGATATTTTATTCCGGAAACTATTACATAGAATGACCATATAATGAAAAGTAGGTGGGAAATGGGTCTGTTTCCCATGGAAAACTGTTTGAGCATTATAATCGTGATAATATAAACTTAGAAATATCTACAGAGTTAATATCCAAAGTCATAATTTTGATAACATTGGGGGCACATAAAATGTATCTCAGAAATGTTTATGAATTTGGTTTCATAGGTAATTCGAACCATTTCAGCAGCATTTTATTCTTTCCATTAAACATTCTCATTATATTAGGGTCTATACGATGACGTGGACCTG